CCATGGTGTGTTCAATACTTTTTTCCTGTGTTATTGCACTTAATTCCACATAATCACTATTTATGGATTTGAATGTTGTGATTTCTTTTTATGTGTGGATTATTTGAGTTAATACCAGTGTCTGGAAGAAATGTCACATGAATTGCATCTTTGGAAATAAATGTAATGACAAAAAAGTGAATGCGTTCAATACTTATTTCCCCCATTGTATATATATGTACGTATATATATACATATATATGTACGTATATATATATAACATAATATATACATATAACATAATATAAAATAGTTAAAATAAAATAATAATTGCGACAAATTGCACTTACCTTGGTACAGTATGCGTAAATTAGCCAATGTGGTCTGGCATTACAAAGTCTAGACCAGGGGCGTCCACACTTTTTCGGCTTGGGAGCTACTTTTCAAACAACCGGGGTAAAGTGATCTACCTACATTTAAAACTATAAATATATATTTACTACTTTGATTAAATGGCTCTAGTTCTATGGCACAATACCGTCTGACTCAATACTTCTATGGTCCTTAATTTAGCCCTAGTAATTAACATCTTAAAATAGAATTAAAACTATTTGTTTATTTAAATGTAATTGTTCTTGATCTAACAGCACTCCCTTTGAGAGCTACTGGTAGATCCTGATCTACTTATTGGGCAGCCCTGGTATAGAGTCTTCTATGGATGTGCGATTTCCTCAACAATTCTGGATAAGGTCGTTACATGAAAAATTAAAATAAAAAAAAAACTAAATGTGAGTAACTCATGTACATGAAGGGCTCATTGATCCATCTCAGGGAGTTAGTCCCAGTACTAGAGACAGTACCAGTCATTCGGCAGTCTTCATTGGCAGGACCTTGAAACTAAATATAACCAGGAGTTGATTTTCATCTCCAGATAAATAACTTGTTTGAATTATTGCCATTATTGGACACACATTTGTACAATTAATTCTTTTTTGTTTGGCAATGGTCCTCTTAAAACTGGAACCAAAAGATTCTACTCTGACCAGCGATTTGAAGCAATTTATTTAAAACGAAAATCAACCGTTGCCAGTGTCAGCTTAGAGGTTGAATCCTTCGGAGGTGGGAATCAATTGACTATGCCTTTAGGCATTGCTGGTGTGGAGAATGTTGTTGTTGGTAAATGTCAAGTCCTACTGTTTAGGTGTCTGAAATCTAAACTGTGGGTTTTGCCCCCTCCCTCCCCCCCCCCTCATTAACATTGTAGATTCTTTTTTGGGTCGGATTCAGGAGCGTCTGGAAAAACAAAAGCATTTGAATACGGAATTCAATGCCCTGTTGATGGAGTCACTGGGCATTCAGTGTGGCTGAGAACTGTTTTCATCCCAGTGAACGTATGAGAGAAACGGGAGAACTCCTGGTGGTTTGAATGAATATTTGTCTGAGTCAGGTTTAGATTTCTTTACCTGGTGTTCTTCACCTTCCACCTTCCTCTATCTCTTTGAATTCCTCCTGCTTCCTCTCCTCCATTTCCTCCTCCTTCCTTGCTCTTGTCTCCTCACCACAGGGTAAGGGTTACAGCGTATTGCTTTTTGAAGTAGACATTTGCATAATCAGATTAGAATGCGATTGTCAGTGGACTCCCCCATCAGAGGGTGCTCCAGAGGAGAGAGGGTGTTGTCCAGCTCAACAATGAAGCACTCCCCTCCTCTCTCACCCTGCAACCAGTCCTGCACCTGCATCCCATCCACCAGCCCACGGCCGACTGCAGGTCAGCTGCGGCAGCCAGGCACAGCTAGGACATGGAGCTGTGCAAGGATTGAGGAAGAGTGTGAGGGAAAGGGGGGAGGAGGGAGTGGGAGTGAATGAAGGGAGTGGGAGGGCAGGGGTTGAGCTACGATATTTAAACATGCAGAGTGTGAATTGGCTTTAAGGGGATAAAGAGCTCAGGGCCTATCAGTTGGCACCCAACTCCAGAAATTCTTTTTCATGGGCGTCTCACCCGGGAGAGCGAGGGGCTGCCTGCACTGATCTGGCCCATTGTGATAAGGGATTCAGACAGTGTGTTAGACGCTGATAAGGAAATGTGCTCTCAATACACGATTACCCACATACTTGGGAGAGAATAGTCAATCAAGCAAATATACTTGGTGAAGGGAATAAGAAGGAACAGATTTATTTTTATTATTTTCACCACCAGGATTTCATAATCCCGTCAGGAAGTGGAGGTCAGAGGAGCGCTCGTTCTGCCATTGGATGATTTCTGTAAATACGGTGTATCAGCAAAATATATTTCACAGCTCATGTAGGAACGCTCAGGCTGTCACATGCCTCCTACCTAATGTGTCAAATTAGTGTCAAGCTAATGTAACATGTAACAGTGCTAAGGCTAAATTACTCAATAAGGATTTTTTTTTTTTTACGTCGCAGCCTTTTATACATGGTGATAAACACCTTTTAGTTTAATCACTTATTTTCTCATGAAATTGTATATTTCACCCTTAATTTGAACATTTGGTAAAATTCCCTATATTCCTGCTCTGGGGTCAAACCACTGATACTGTGTAGTTTTTGGTGGATTTTTTTCTGTTCTTTTCTCTTTTTTTTCATCACTAAGTGTCACCTGTCAGTTCCCACAGGCCTCCAGTCAGTGTGTCCAGCTGCCCTCTGCTCCATTTACACACTATTAGCCGGAATTTAACAACCAGGGTGAAAGAGCCTGAAAACCAGCCAGTGTTTACTCTTCAGCTCAGTTTGTCGCAGCTTTTGGCTCAAAATGAGACACATTTTGTACGTTGACAATAGCTGATTAGATGTGTAGAAGTCTGACGTCGGTGTAAAACGAAGGGTAAACAAAGGTAACGGCCACAAATGCAACTGAGGGAAACGAAAAAAAAAAAAAATCAAGCAGCAGGTTTGGTTTATTGGTTTATTGGTAGTAATTACTGGGAGCTGTCCATTAGTTGTCAAGGTGAGCCATATTGCTTTTTATGGATCAACATTTTTATTATTGAGGTTGTTTATACTCTATCGTTGCCAGTATCTGAGGTTTTCCTGCAGGCCACACAAAATGGCTTGGCGGGCCGCATTTGGCCCCCAGGCCTTGAGTTTGACACGTATGCTGTAGAGGGAACGTGTGATGTGCTGCATCAGCATGTGATTTAAATCTCAACAAACAGCAAAAGGAAAAGTGGTTAGTTCGTTTGCCTTACAGCAGGAAGATCAGTGATTTAAACCCTGTATATGTATATATATATATATACATACATACATATACTGTATACATATATATATGTACGTGTGTGTGTGTGTATATTTTAATTCTAGGTACCGGCCTGACAATTTATGGAATCTGAAATATTTTATATAATAATGATAAAAAACAGTCAAATACTATCCATTAAATTCTCCTTTATTTTGTTGTATTTCTATTGTTTTGGAAAGTATTTTCAAATACTTTCAGAAATATTCAACAACAGAGTGAGAGTGAGACAGGATTTACTTGAGAAGAATACATGACCACCTGCAAACTGGTCAACTGGTCAGTGATTGACTTCAGACTGACCTCTGACCTCAGGGGTCGCAAGTTAAGCTGTGTCACTTTTCTCACAGACCTCTGGTCAATGGGCAATGAGCTGAGGGCAGCTTCTGTCCACACGGTCATCACAGGACATTTGGACAAGTGTCCGTGGGCTCCATGAGCCTGGACAAAGACGCAGCAGCTCCACTCTTAACTTCACATCAGTTGTGTCCTGGTTGATATCGATTGGTTCAGAGAGAGAGAGATGCTCCTTCTGACACAGTATTACAGACGATAGTCACTGCAGTAACCACACTCTGACATCATAGTCAGAACACTGTTTTAATGGAGCTGTAGGATTCACCGAGTATTATTTAAAGTTTTTTTGTTTCTTTTTTTGTTTGGTGACAGCAGAAAGAGAAATGAAATACAATGATTGGAATAAATAAATTCAAGAAATTAAAACAAATCTATTTTATAAACAAATCCTTTATTGAATAAATAGTTGAAATAAATACCATACTGTATTAAAAAAAATAACTTACAAAAGAGGTATTAGAGGATCATGCACACACACACTTCACAGTAGACAATCAGTTCTTTCTTCTTTGGCCATGTGACATGCCTTCTTTACAGACAACAACAGAAGATGCTTGGTGAGGTTTAAATTTTTTTTAGAAATGGATTGTCAGTTTTTTTCCCCCCTCAAACTCAGGAATCCAATCCAAGATATTGCATTTTTTTAAATGATGAGAAACTTCCTTTGAAAATCGTTGTTAGTGAACAGTTCAGACGAAGAAACAAAGCATGTCGAGTTAAATAAAAAGTGCTACTGGCTTTGTGAGAACAGGCTGAGCCTTTATCTCCTCTCATGTCTCACAGAATCTAATGCTTTAGTAGAGAAAATCCTCCCTATTTCCTCATTTGGCAAAACATCCCACCATGCCCCAAAAATAAAGGAGTTTCAGGCAGGATGGCAGTGAGGTACGCTAACATGATGACATTACAGGGAACAGAGTTTATCCAGGTTTTACACATCATGCTGCTAATTATAACTTAACACAGATCAGAGTGGATGCAGCTGCATGAGGGTCCACGGAAATCACACGTCTTCTGCTCTGAGTCACACAGGTGACAGGACAAGGATAGTTTCAGAACCAGGAAGTTAGGATCCATTCAGAGTTTGTCTTTTTTTTATGTCAAACTAAAACAACAGTTTATTTTATTTTATTTCTACCAGGCCTCGGTGCTGTCAGAGCTGGACCCCGGTGAAGGAACCTCAGTGTCACTGATCCACGTGTGTGCAGGAGACTGCAGTCGCTCCATGTTGCCTTTGAGCAAGTTGAGCAGAGCGGTGGAAGAGTGTCCGGCCGGTTGACCTCCCTGGCTCTCCAGCAGCTGCACCAGGAAGTTGATGTAGCGCATGGCCAACCTGAGGATCTCGTTCTTGCTCAGCTTCTTCTCAGGAGGATGAGTGGGGATGAGTTTACGCAGCTCCGCAAAAGCCGTGTTGACGTTGTGCTGGCGCCAGCGCTCCCTTGTGTTGGTGAACACCTTCCTGGTCATGGTGAGGAGATGATCTGAAAATTGAATTTTCAACCAATCAGAAAAACGTCTTCTCAAAAGTACTTTTTCAGCCAAAACATTTTCAAGGTTTTCTTTGCTGTTTCTGATAATAGAATGATATTCTGACTAGTTTGTTTTGACTTTGTTTTATAAAAAAGCAGCTTGTGCTAATTAACTGTTTTTTTTAGTAAAATATTAATATTAAAATGATAAAATATTAAATTATTATTATTAATATAT